TCACGTTACTGTACTTTCATCCCATCACATGCTAATATAAATGCCCTCCCCCCTCCCCTTCTTCTCCTAGTGTGGGCATTTCATTCATCTTAAGAACATAAGAACAAATCCACAGGTCTCATCCAGCTATTTCTTCAAAGAAGAAAGAGTATTCAGCAACAGGGCCAAGGTACTTACTCTCATAACCCTTGTAAATAAATCTTGTTAAATCATTTCTTCCCTCAAACTGGCAATGCCCATTGACATCTGCAGTTTTCTAGTTCTAACTAGATAGGTAAAACAGAATATTAGCCAAATAAACTTGAACTCTGGAGTTGACAACTGACTTCCATGAGAGTGGTATGAAAACTCCAGGACTTCACCTAGTCATCACTGCCTTGAACAATCCCCACCATAATTCATTCCTGCTCTTCCTTCCTCTATAGTATATACAGTAGGTCTATACCTTTCTTTTCCATTACTTCTTCCCTCCTGTTTCCCTCTGCTATTCTGCAGTGCCAGTTAGACTACCTCAGATCTACTTGCCCATCATTGTAGATCTTGCCCTTTCTTTTGCTATATATTGTTCTGATTAAAGAAAATCCCAAACTAAAAAAAAAGACCCTGAAATAAAAATTCTGGTACACGTGGGTTGTGAAACATAAGCTGCCCCAAACTCTTTCTGCTTTAAGAAATAAACCCACTTTTAAGAGAAGACTGAATGAGACTGATGGGCCGCAGCCAGAGCATTACTTTGAGATCTCAGCATGGTGGCTTATCATAATGTAACACAAAGCCTTTTACACACTGCATGTGCTCTACAAAGGATTCTGCCAAGGAAAATAAAATCCCTTCTCTAACCTCATCCAAAACAGAGGCATTAAAAACACAAAAGGGTGGTATTACAAATTCTAACCACCTGGCTGGTGGTTTTACTTTGGTACTAAATATTGCCAGAAAAAATGAAAAAAAAAACCCACTAGAAAATTACATGCTACTATATCCACCAACTTAAAATGTTATATGCAGCAGTGTGGAGTAGTGATTAGGGGCTATGAACTCAACAAAATAATTGTTGTTTCAAGTCCCAGATAGGACACTGTTCTTGCGCCCTTGAGCAACGTACATCTAACAAATGCCCTGTTGTATGAACGCATACTTTCAAGTTATCATTGAGAATAAGAATCTGTTCTCAGTTGACTTAGCCGATTAATAAGTGTATTAAGAAAAATGAATTGGATGCCTGTGCTGTGATGAAGAGTGAAATATAAACTAAAAAGAACAAAACTAATATTGTTGGAAATAACTGCATTCATCTTATTACTTTTGTGTCATATGTGCATGTATTTTATATTTGCTTTAAAGCATTGGTTAGACTGCTGGACATGGAGTGGCAACTACTGTCAAGTCTACCAATGATTTTCTTGATGGCACATTCATCCTTATATTATTTATATTATTATTATATTTTTATTATTGTTTTACACTATTCTGTTTTAGATTACGTGCATAGATCCACTGGTATACCATAAGTGACTAAGCTTTTGCAGTAGCCTATTACACTCATCTAAAAATAGACATTATAGAGGCTGACAACAAAATGGCATTGTGAGAAGTGAGCACACGGGGACATCATTTAAAATGACAATACCAGTGCCGGTCCTTTTATTTGTATGTCAAATGACTGACAGCTCCATCATTTAAATTAGGGTGAGGGTGAGAGATATACAGCTCAGATTCACCCTCTACAACAGCTCAAAACTAAATGCTAATCTTGACACAAACTGTTTCCCACCCTAAAATATGGATTTATTTTTTTGTGAATTCGAGACTTCTGAAATTGCATTATGCAATTTATAAAGAGACAGAATTCAGAAATATCAGTATAAAGGAAAGGTCACAAAGAGTGAAGGAATATCTCACTCATATAATCAAGAAATTTAATTTGGACTTCTTCTGTTACAGATAGAGGGGCTTACTACCGTGGTTGCTGGAGGTGTCTGTGGGCTGGGCAGAAACATATTTCCATCATCTGCATCGTATTTTTGAGCATTTAAAATAAACTTTTGGTGATAAATTAATTATTGTATCACAACTTGACTGCATTGTTTGTATGTCAAAGAATGCTGAAAACATTGTAATCTGAGGTTGATAATTCCGTGGGTCAATTTTGTATAGGTACATGACCATACCACCAGGAAACAATCAAATTATTTCACTGCAGGCTTCTTCCCACAGCTCTCAAAACATATAACTACAGGACAATTTTAGTACTGTCAAACAATGTTATTATTAGGTGTTGCTGGAAATCTCAAAGGGAAAAAAAACAGGTAAAAAACAGGAGAGGGAAATAAAATGACAGACATTCCATCAACTCCACCTGTGCAACTATGCTTCTGGTCCTGAAAAAGGATGTAACTCTTATAAATGTGTCTATGCAGCATTAAACTATACACAGGAGAGGTAATTATATATTGTTCCAGAACTCTGTAGTTAGCATAATGGAAAATTCTAAAAGATATTTACATTATTTCAATCTCAGATTATTTAAAGGTAAGGGATCATGATTTTGATACCTATCCTGGATGAAACTCTGAAAAGTAGTAGACGTAGAAGACCTAACTGAACAGAATCCTATTCTTCTGGATAATAATATCTGGATAGAGGCTGCAAACACAATATTGACTTTGTTCAATCACATTCTTTTGTGTCAGTTAAGTGTACATCTGGAATTCTTGGAAGCCAATTAAATACTACATTGTGTGCTATCATTACAGAAGAAGTAGAACATTTCAGCTTTATAGTAAAGTTGCCACTTCTTATGAATTTGCTACCCTACTTTTAAACGTACAGTAGCAGAGCCTAGAATATTAGCTCTAAAAGAACAAGAATTAGGAACATACATATAGAAGTAAAGCTGTCTTAATAGAATAAATAACTATTAAATATATACAATAACTACTGAAATCATTTTCTGAACACCCCACTTAAAGCAGAGATAGTAGGGACTCCCCTCACCCACCACCAGCCAAACTGTGCCAATATGCTCACCACACATCAGCTATCAGTGGGGAAGAGAACAGAGTAATGAAGCCAATTCGTAGATGGGGATTGTTAGGAGGAAAGGGTAAAGGACAGGTAATTGGTGAGGGACAAGGGGAAATCTGGCCAGGATACTGGAATTAACACCCATATATGCATTATAAATCATTTAAAAGACTGCATATAAATGATAAAAATCATATAAAGTAACCATCACATTAATCTCAGATCACTATTTCTGTTTCATATCTATAAGGTGCTGTTTTTCATCACCTGAGATGGAATAGAAGGCTTTCAGTAGGTTCCTGCTTAAACTTTATAATAATAATAATAATAATAATAATAATAATAATAGCTTACACTTATATAGCGCTTTTCTGGACACTCCACTCAAAGCGCTTTACAGGTAATGGGGACTCCCCTCCACC